CACCCACTGGCCCATGATCCTCCTGCATTCAGCATCATTGCATGTATTTCGTAAGTCTGCAGAGGACTTTATAGATTGGTGTCGGACATATGGCTTAATAATGGACGTATGGACTTGATCTGGACTGAGCTGGAACATTTTCTCAATATTCAATTGCTCTTGTATATAAATCTCTTATACAACTGTGAGTGTCTCCATGAACTTGTTTCTCTAGGCTACCTGGATTAATACAACCCCAGACACTGTTTCTTCTGATAGCCAGGCACCATCTAGTTTCTTCACCACACTTTGCTATCGCACCCATATTTTCAGTGATCTCCTCATGAGGATGAGCATCAAGCAGGGGTATGTCATAGACTGAATTGTTCTTAGATTGGGGCTAGAATTCAGTGGGCGCTCCAAATCCATTCATCTACTTATAGTTCATATATGTCTCTGGTTCACTTTGGAGACATTTTGTCACTTTATGTTGGAGAATATTATCATCCCCCTGGGGCATAAGGTAATTCTATTGATAGTGTCATTAATTTAGCCACTGATATAGGATTTAGAACACTGTTGAGAAAAGGAAATTATACAAGTATAGGCCAACTATGAACCACAATATATAAATTGTTGGCTTTTACAGGTTAGACTCTTTTTCTTAAATCATTTTATTGGGGGCTCTGACAGCACTTTTCACACTCCATCATACATCCATTGTGTCAAGCACAGTTGTACATATGTTACCATCATCATTTTCAAGACATTTTATTTCTAGACTAGACTCTTAAGTGACTGGATACTACTTACACAAATCATAGGAGTTGGTGATAGGGAAAAAACTTTCAGTAATATTGACAGCGGCAGAGCCACGCCCACCAGATTACTGCATATCATAATAAAGTAAGGAAGGCATTAAATAGTTAGTATTTGGTAGTTCCAGGCCACCATTTATTGGGCGCCCTCAATGGAAGAGATCTGAACCAAAGTCCAACATCTGTCAGTACTGTGCCCTTAGGATAGCAACTCACTGCCACAGAGTCAATGCTGGTTCGTAGAGACACCCCTGTGGGTTTCTGAGACTGCCACTGTTGATGGGAGTAGAAAGCTCAGTCTTTCTCCTGAGGAGCTGCTGGTGGTTTTGAACTCCTGACCATGGGGATCGAATCCCAATGTGCAACCACAACACCACCAGGACTCCGTCTGGGATAGCAGTCATCTGCTTGAGCCCATGGTTGCAGCCACTGTGTCAATCCATCTCCTTGAGGATCTTCCTCTTTATTATTTTTACAGCCCCTCTACTTTACCAAACATGATGTCCTTCTCCAGGGACTGCCCTCTCCTGACAACACGTCCAAAGTTTGTAGGATGAAGTCTCGCCATCCTGGCCTCTCAGGAGCACGCTGGCCATACTTCTTCCTTGGCAGATTAGGAATACTGTATGTATGTGGAACAAATAATCAGAGGCTGGATTACATGAAGAAGAGTCCTATTACCCTGTGGTATGCAGATGACACAACCCTGCTTGCTGAAAGTCAGGAGGGCTTGAAGCACATTCTGATGAAGATCAAGGAGTGCAGCCTTCAGTATGCATTATAACCCAATGTAAAGAAGACCAAAATCCTCACAACTGGACCAAGAGGTAACAGCATGATAAACAGAGAGAAGATTGAAGTTCAAAGGAGTTGGTCTTGCTTGGATCCATAAATAATGCTCATGGAAGCGTCCGTTAAGAGATCAAAGGATGCATTGCATTGGATAAATCTGCAGCAGAAGACTAGAGTATTGAAGAACAAAGATGTTACTGATCCAAAACATGCCTCATATGTATGTGAAAGTTGGAAATTGAATAAGGAAGACTAAATAATGGATACATTTGAGTTTGGGGGCTGGAGAAGAATATTGAAAGTACCATGGACTGCCAAAGGACAAACCAACCTGTCTTGGAAGAAGTACAGCCAGAGTGCTCCTTAGAGGCGAGGAGAGGGACTTCGTCTTACATACTTTAGACATGCTGTCAGGAGAGAGCTGCCCCTGGAGAAGGACGTCATGTTTGGTAGAGGGGCAGCGCCATAGAGGAAGGCTCTCCAAGAGATGGATTCGCAGTATGGCTGCAGCAGTGGGCTCGAGCACAGGGCACAGGAACCACGGTGAGGATGGCACAGGATGGGCAGCGTTTCATTCTGCTGCGCATCTGGTCAGAGTGGGCTCCATGATCCCTATCAACAGCAGCAGCAACAATGAGTCTAGATGACTTAGTGGTGGTAGGTTGGTGGTTTAGGTTTTATCTAGCTATAAGGTTGCTATGAGTTGAAATGGAATAGACAGTGGTTTGGTTTTTTATTTGATCCAGTTAAAGAATTGTTATGAATTGAGATCAACTCTATGTTCCTCTTCGTTGTTCATTCAGCTATTATGAGATAGAATCAACTGGAAGGCGGTGGGCTGGGTTTGGGTTGGGATCTAGCTATAGGGTCACTATGGTCAGAATGGACTCAAGGCAGTGGGGCTGGGCTCGGGTTTATCCACCTGTAGGGTCCCTGGCTTGGAGTTCACGGCGTGGCAGTGGGTTTGGGTTTGGGTAGGGATCTAGCTATAGGGTGACTAGGAGTCAGAATGGACTCAAGGTAGTGGGTGTGGCTCCTGCGCAGAGTTCTAAGGCATCCCCTTCTCCCTGGTGGGTTTTGCTTTGTGAGGGTCCCACGGGTTTTCAGAATTAGCACAATTCATACCAATATCTCTCATGATCTTACCTAGTATGACGTCTGGAAGTACTGCATTATTTTGGATAGCCCCACCCATGTAAACACTGGGCATGTATGATTAACAAATAGTAGGCATAGGATACTAAGGCCCGGGAGGCAGGGGGGGGGGCGGGTGTCGGGCGGTTTACAAAACCACATTGTGGTATTTGCATAAGATATGGTGATTTATGCTGAGACATCACTGGGTGAGTGGCTTTTCAGAGATGATGGTAGGTTCGAACCCAAACTTGTGCTTAGCAGCCCAGAGCTTAACCCAATGCGCCACCAGGGCTCCTTAAGAACCTCTGTGGGATCCAACGCGGCCACTGGAACGTTTACAAAGGCACCTTAGCGGGCAGTAAATTTGTTAATGGAGAAGGGCTGCACAGCTCGAATGTAATCCAGGTCACTGAAACGGTTGAGGCGCGCACGTTCTGCTGTGTATATTACCAACAAAAACAAAAAATGTAAAAAGGAGTAATGCCGAACCGTATTCCAGGATTCGCTGTCATCACCCGCTTATCCCGCAAAGTGTTTCTTGGGCGCATGCGTACAGGCACGGAAAGTTAGTGGGCCAAATGGGCGAAACCCTGAGCCAGGGGGTGCTCCGCTAGCGCGTGGGTGGTGGTGAGGTGCTGGTTCCCAACATCTAGACTCCCAATGCCAGACCTTTCCCTCGCTTCTTCAGTCCAGGGAAGTAGGAGGGGAGGGCATCGGGCAGCCTGCGCATATCTGTGTTCGGAACTCCGCGCTTGGGAATGTCCCACGGGCACCTGCGCGGGGATCGGCAGCCAGGAGGGGCCCGCACCGACTAGGTCTCAAAAGCGCAGCGACCACCCCTCCACGAGACGCCGGAAGCTCCCGATAGGCACCGCGGCAGCGGGCGACACCGGGAAATGGCCGGGCCGCAGCTCGGACTACACTTCCCATGAGGCCTCGCGGCGGCACGCGGCGGATGCGCAAGCGCGCGGCGTGCGTGGCGGCGTCAGCGGTTCTAGAACGTTGCTGTGGTAGCGCTCGGGCGCCATGTTAGGACGAAGGGGAAGGAGGCGAAGCGCGTAAAGCGGCCGACCGGGAGCGGGAGCGGGGTCGGTGCCCGGCTGCGGTAGCCGCGTCCCTCCCGCCTCAGTGGATCATGCCCAGGGCGGCAGCGGCGGTGCTTGCGGGGGGGCAGTGACTGGGCGGCGCCGCGCCGGAGACGATGCCGTTGTAAGTACTTCGGGTTCCGCTCGCGGCCGCGCGCCGGCGGCC